ACAGGTGCAGCAGGTCACACATGACCTTTCAGTGACGCTGAGTTTGACCACAGCAGAATTTTAACCTTCTGCCTCCAGAGCAGCTTTTTTCCCCCTTGAAGGGTTTCTAATAATTTCTTACTCCAGTGCTGCTCTGAACTGTACTAGAGTATTTCCATTTCATGCAACTTTACTGATCCTACTACATTTCAAAGTGAGATACTGTCCATTTTACCCCACTGCATTTTATCTGTCTGCTGAATCTTAATCTTAATTAATTAAAATAATGTTTAAAAAATTACTTTATTTATAAATTAGCCTGATAAATTGTATTTAATGAAAAAACTGAATATCTGACTTTTCCCTTTTTTTTTTTTTTAGAAAATGTTTATTTTGAAAGTTTCCTAGTAAAAACAAAGAAGCTACAGGCTTTTTCCCTGTGGACCCATAAAGTTGTTCTGGGGATGTAGACTTAAGTTTTTTGCCTTATTTGTTGCGGTACATGTGGAGGAAGGACAATCAGAAAGGCTTTTTAGGTTAGAATGTCTATGTTTAGGCAGTGAGGGAGAGCCAGTCCCACACACTAACAAACATCAGATCCATGATAATAATGATAATTATGCTGACGTGTTTATGTGCATGTCATAGTCCATTTGTAGCAAAAAGCTGATGATATTGTGCTTTAATTAAAAAGGGTTCTGCATACTGAGTACTTCAACCTCCAATTTGTCATTAGGCTTTTGCTGAAACTACTTTTATAGTCTGGTATTGCTCCTTTTACTTAAACTCACAGTCACTAATATTTTGGCCACTTCAGAGCAGTTCCACACATTGTAAAGGTTAAGTTCATGCAGAAACCTTATTAGTAAACATGGGCTTTGCATTATATGTTTTGTTTATTTGGAGTCATGTACAGGTGCACCTGATAAATGTAATTTGAAGATCCACCCTTGGGGCCACTTGGGATCAGCAGAAATACAACACTGGCATAGGTTTCTATGGCAAATGCAAATAAAGCTGCTTGTTTACATGTTCCAGAGTTATGGAGCAGCATTATCATTCATTTGGAGTTGTGTTTTTGGCCACTCCCCTTCAGCTGTTTGTAGTCTCTACCATCTTCTGAGAGAAACATCTGGATTTTTTTTAGCTGCTAAATTCTTCATGAATTGCTAGTCGCTGGCTGTGTCTGTCTGCCATCTGATGCTGGACCAGTAGCGCTGACGGGATTTATTACATCTTTTCCTGCTGCATCTGGAATAAGAGTGATGAAAGCAGTGAAAATAAATATCACCTCACACTGTGATCATCATACAAGTACAGGTGTCACTAACACTGTCCTTTGACCTATCAGACCTGTTCTCGGGCCACACCTAGCCCTGATAATGCACCTTATCACCTCTGCTCTTCATTTATCACCACACATTTTATAGCACTTTATTGCAGATGAATAAGCAGAGCACTTCCTCACACAGATGATTGGGACTTTTTGCACATTGGACCGGATAAAGTCAACTTCTCCAGTCTAAACACTGCTCTGACAGTTTCAGGTCAGCTTTGTGGTTATATTACTCAGTGCAGCCAGACAGTGGAATGTTTCCCATGTGGTCTGTTTCATACTCACTCAGTTTGGTGCCAACCAAGATCAAAACATCACCAGTGGGAAAATCAGAAACATAGCATGAAGTCACCATAGGACAGGGTTTGTGCTTTGAGTCAACACAGAACAATGTTCTCTTGCTCTAATCAGACTGCCCACGCAACACACGCAGTGTGTTGGCTTCAGACAAAGACCTCTTGTCTGCTGGTTTGGATCTCATGACCTCCCTCTACTGGTGGAAATAAGAAAAAAAAATTCCATGTATGTATTTTCCATTTCACAGAATGAGGAAGCAGATATACGTACCTGACATCCGGTTTCCAGTCTGAAGGTGTGCATGAAAGGAAGCGATGCTGATGTGTGTGAAGGCTGAAAACAGAACACTCCTGTGGATATTTGTGATCAGTTGTCACAAAAAGGAGAACAGCAAAGAAGCATAGTACTTGTTGTTGATTTGCTTTCGCCCCAAGAGAATTTATTTTGAATACGAGGGGAGAGCCCCGCAGACTTCCTGTTAAGGTGGGAGCGCCCCACCTCACCCTATTAGCTCTAAAATTCAAATTTACATTTTCTCTGTTGGTGTGACCAAAACACAAAGGCACTTTACCAACATCTCTCAGGCTTGCTACTAATATTTCATTTTTTTATGCGTTGGTGGCCGGCTCACTGGACACCGCTTCTATGTCCCAGTAAAATGCACATTGCTGTTCTTACACTTTGGTTTTTGTTTAGGTTTCAGTTTGCCTAGTAGATGCCCAGTGGCTGATTTCCTTACAGTGTGTGTAGTTGGTCCAGAGTGCTGAAGGGCTGTGTTATATGCCTGAACATCTGTCAGCCTGTTTCTCACTCTCATGTTTTCTATTTCTCTGGAACATACTTGTAACCACCCCCCCGCCCCCGGGTGACTAAGTCATTAACTGGAAACACCCACAGAGAGCACATGTGCACAACAGTGGCACTCAGACACAAGCCTACATGCACACATTTTGGTTTTAAAAAAACTTCTCATTGGGGATAAAGTTTGGTCTGGAAAGTTTGAGTCTAGGTACATTTCTGTTGACCTGACCAGAGGGGAAAAACATTATTAATATTAACTTTTGAATCAAACTAAAAATGAAAGCAGAGGGAAGAAGACAACACAGATCACTTTGATTACACCGCTGATATAAAACAATTTAGATTTTATTGACTACTAAAAGTTCAGACCATTTCAGGTTTTATTGTAGGTCTCAAAGTACAAAGTGTCATGTTTTGTCATGCTGCAAAACTACATGAGTTTGTTTAAAATTGTGCTCCAGGTTTCGAAGTTTGTACAGATTCTAATATGGTTGACAAATAAATTAATATACAGTGACATGATATAATGTCTGAACTCACTGTTAACATCATTTAGCTCCAGTGAGGTACTGCATATAAATACAGAAGTTGATGTTGTCATAGTTTCACAACCTTAGAAGAAATTTAGGAGGAAATTATTCATTAAAAGGGACAAACCACAAAAATAACACACACACATCCTTGTTTTCATTGGTTATCAGGTCCCTACATAGACTTACATTAATTTCTGGGAGACTTACCCTATGACCTTAACAGAACTCATAGAAACACATACCCACACACAGTAATATCTCACTTGTGCACTGTGCAAATAGTTTTATTTTTAGATGATGAGACTGTCCTAACAAATACAGGACTTAAATCATTGTGGAACATGATTTTCACTTTAACATGTTGTCCTTTGGCTTTCACTCTAACAATGATCCATAAATAAAACACATCATAACCAATACTTTTATAACTGGGTGAGAACTCGAGTGTTTCTGTAGTTCACACTGATGATAGATTATGCAGTTTACACAGTGAAAATGAATGAGCACGAAACACACCTTTGTTTGTTGTGTTGGCACCCTGCAAGATGGCACAAAGAACAGAATGCAGTCAGTTAGCATTGCTTAGGGGAAACACCAGCTAAGATATTAAAGCATTTTGCGTTTTGCAGGTTTAGGTTTTAACTATGAAGTAAACCAAAACCTTCAAGGACATCCGCTCCAAATTATTTTCATTAATATACATTAATCTCTTTTTGCTAAACACAAATTAAAATGGTTTTGCTCAGTAGAATCTAGTATCACAGAACATGAATTAATCATAAAGTTTGCATAAAATGAGCTCACTATTGCTCAGTGCAAGTCTCGTTTTACTTATGCAGCCCTTTGGCTCATTTACAGCCCTAGTGCCAAACACTGGAGGCCATTGTACAGTCAGAGCACAGGGAATTTCATAAGAAGGTCAAACTTACATTGTTCATGTCTCTCTGCTGCCATCTAGTGTGTTGACACTGTCCAGTTGGGTTCAGAGGCCATTTGAACTTCATTTATGAAGTGAAGAAGATGAATTAAATATGTTGTTTAGGAATGTAAAACAACATGCACCCATCCTAACAAGAGGCAGGGTCCACCCCGGACAGGTCGCCAGTCTATCGCCGGTCTGACACTCATACGCAATTTCTTGGAAATTTAAAGTTTTTTTTTCTTTAAAAATCTCTCCCTATGCACTTACTAAAAGATGTTCTGATTTTGAGAAAAAAGATAGAAATTACTGTAGAAGTTTGGTAAAGCAGCCAATAATTTTCCCTCCAGGGAGAATGTACTTAAACTATAGACCTGGGAATTACTGTAAGCAATGGTATTATTGTAAATAGATAAAGAAAGAAAGAAAGAAAGAAGTGAAGAATAACAGAACTAGATGGTGCAAGAAGAAACTGGAAATATCAAACTAATAAGTTGAGCAAAAGATTCAAGACTTAAATGACAAGACAGGAAAAATAATCTTTGGAAGTAAGATCATGGAGCAACACTGCTGAAAAACTATGACAAAGAAGTTGTCAAGGAAGAGGAAGCGGTGAGAGATTTGTGAAAGGAGAAGAAACTCAGAAAGAACATTCAAAAGTAGACCACAACACAAAACATTACTGGGAATGAATGCGGATCTGAAAAGAAATCAACCAGACTTTTGACAAGGAAGGAAGAGGTAAAGAAGAGTGGTAAGCAAAAGCAGATGTAAAGGGGAGGATTTAGCTATTCATAAATCCATTACCGGGGTTGTGTGTAAAGCTAACAAGCTAATTTCAGACTAGTGAATTAAAACATCAGGTTGCACCATCAGAGCATGAGAAACCTGCAATCAGCTACTGTAGCATCACAGGTTGTAATGCAGGCTAATAATGAATCCTTAATCCTTCAGTCTAATGGAAAATATCAATGGTGCTAAGCTATTGAGCATTTTTTGGTCGTTTAGTTTCATGTATTCTTAAAAGGATTTTATGGCAAGGAAGTCACTTCAAGACACTGCAACCGTTGTGCTCAGCCACCTGAGCGGTGAGGGTGACTCCTTCTTTCTCCAGGGCTGATGAGCACAATAACCAGAGGTGGACTGTGTTGGGCTTTAGGGGGCAGTAGAGCTCCACAACAAGCTGAAGAACACACAGCCTGAGAAATGGCTAGAGTTAGCAAACAATTCTAATTTGCACACCCAGCAGACACACAACAACCCTGGCACTGATTAGGAGTCTTGTTTTGTCCACCCAACCAAGGTAAGTCCAGTATTCACTCTCCTTTAAGCTCTGCTGTGGTCTCCACTGACACATGAGAAGGCTGCTAGATGGTTTGCTGTGTCCACCAGTTACCTGCTGACATTTAATGTTTGTGATTTGGTGCTGGACAGAGTGTACAGAGGGTCTGTCAGAGGTTCCTTACAGAAAGAAGCTTCCTGCTGCAGCTGGAAACAGGCTAAGCATGGAGAGTTGCATTAAAACTAAAACAATGAGCTTAAAGAGCTACTGATTTGTCACTCTGAGCCGAAAGCTCCACATTAAACATTTCTGAACACCTTGTTAATATAAATATACTCTGGTTATGCAAACCTCAATAGAGGACATGGCCGCTGGATATCACTGGATGCAACACACAGTAGCATTGTTTTGTTCATTAATGGTGCAGTCCCAATGTGAAGAAGCTTGCTCAGCATTGTAAAAGAAGCTGAAACTTATATTAATACATAAGAACAACACAAACAAAATGCATCATACAGTGCTTTATGTAAAGGTATATAATCATGGATACAGTTTGATATAGTAAAAAGAAATTGGGTTAAATCCTTCTCAGATGAAGCAACACAGGTGCAGAGGGACTGAGGGTGATTTCCAACGTACAGCTTATCTCAGACCACTAGATGTCAGCCCTTCTCTTTCTACTGGCTTCACACTGTTTTTTCTGAATGGCTGATGAGCATGAGTTTATGCCCCGCTTCTCTCTCCCCCCTCTCCACATAACTCTCTACCCTCCCCTCTTCTCTCTCTTGCAGCCAAAATAATAAAATGCTGACTTTTCAAAGTGCCATCAGTTTGCCTGTCTCAGCATAGCAGCCCTGACGCCTGACACAAGAGAGACAGGGGAGTGAGAGAAAGAGAGAGAGAGAGAGAGGAGGAGGGGGAGGAAAAAAAAGAGAAACAACTTTCTCTGGTTTCGAGCTGCAGGCTCTGCCTCGCCGAGGGGCTTCAGCACTGTGCTTCTGTGAAGGTAGGTGTGAAGGAGCTTCTTCGTGTCTCTCCCGCTCTCTGTGTGTTTTTGAGGGGACCCTACCAGCATGTTGGGGGATCCGTGCTTAAATCTTTCCCTCAGGGTTGCCTGCTGGGGGGGGGGGTTCCCTAAACTAGAGCCTCTTGTATGATTGTGAGGTTCTGGGTTTGTGGAACAGGGCAGAGCTGCAGGATGAATGGTGGTGGATTAATGGCCAGAAATAACGTGTTTCTGTGCAGACGTTTGGAGGATAAATGCTCAACTGGATTGTCAGGCTGAAACTTTCAACCTGTGTCGCTTTGTGGGAGGCTTCTGCACAGCGTCAGCTGGAATAGTACCACTCATATGAAGCTACCGGTGTGGTATGTGGAGGGGTTAAACCGTCCAATGACCGTTCATTGCTGTGCAGTTCATTCGTTGCAGGGGATGTTGTTTCAGGGGGCTCTAGTTCAGAAACTGGGAAGGAGGGTTATGTTTGCCCTCTGCCTGCACATCACCACCAGTAAAGCCTCATTAGTGCCTGACCTTTTTAATTCTGTCACTGGATCAAATTATATTTTCAAGTCAGGTGGCACCAGTAATGTATATGTGACTTTCTTGCTGATTTTGTTACAGTGCCAGTTGCTGAGATTGTGTGTCTTGAAAAAACATCCCACCTGTTGCTTCTTTGTGAATATTTGTATCAGCTTCCTGCAGCCGTAGCAAACGGGCACTGTTTTAGTTCAAGTCAAGCTTCTATTTTGGAGCAAAACTGGTGCAACTAAGTTGTTGTCTGGGCCTCAAAATGGTGCTTTGACATAGTCTCAAGGAGCAACCCAAGCCGAGGAGGATTCATACGACTTCAAGTAGCTGACTTGTGAAGCTAAAATTAAGCTGAGGGCTGATTTGGAATGTTACACTTGGTCAGTAAGTTGGGAGCAGATGACCTGTGGATGGTGAGAGATACTCTGAGCTGCCTGTGGCAGATGGGGAATAAAAAAACGTATCTAACCCTGCTACTGTTACAGAAAAACTAGACCTGTGCCCAAGGAAAAAGCCAGTAAAACTAAAAGAAATGACTTAGGAGAGTATTTATTTTTCCTCCAGTATGAGCAAACACCTTGGCACAGAAGCAGAGTGTAAATCATTGTGGAGCATTTATGAGTAAGTAACCTTTGTCACTGTGAAATCGGAACCCATGTAATGGTCTTTGACTTATAAAACACACAGTGACTCCTCTGCTGCTTGACAGCCGAGTTACTGTACAAGCGCTCATGCAGTGAATCATGGTTTTACTGCATTTATCTACAAAAGTATTTTCCTTTTTTTTTTTAGACTCATTACCAAATTTTAGAAATACTTAGTTACATGTAAAAGCCTTACATCCAGCACTTAAAGTTCAGAGGTGTTGCCAGCTAAATATACTAAATAAAAGTAAGCATACTTAGTATTAGTTAACAGAAAGGCCCATTTCAGAATGATATCTATCATATTACTGCGTAATTATTGATGCATTAATGTGCAAACATCACTAATGTTGCAGCTGGTCAAGGTGCAGTTTTAGGTGCAGAGGGTAGTGGATTCAAAAGTCAAAAAACAACCTTTCCCTGTAAGTTGTTGTGGAGCACAACAGTGAAATAAATTACAAGGACCTCAACACTGTACATAAGTACAGTACATGAGTAAATGTACTTAGGTCCTTTCCACCTCTGCCCATTTCCGATACAATCAAGAAGTTACGGTCAGCCTGTTTTTCTCCATGAACATTTACTGAATCACAAGCCTTGAAATCTCTGAATCCTTAAACTGCTGTGACCAAAATGTTCCTGTGGAAACTCAACAGGTGGTGGGAGGCGGAGAGCCAGTAAGTGTTTCAAAAATCAGGGCGGCCCGAGCAGCTGCTTTAGGCGACATGAGATTTTTGACGTTAGTTGTAATTTTTGATGCCAGAGCCCATGTACATCTAAAGCACTGAGGCGCCCTGGTGTTACAGTTCCGCCCTCCAGCGTGTATATTCACACCACCTTCCATTCATTTCAGTTGAAGCCTATACAACAAAAAAAATTCAACCATGTGTTTCCTGTTTTGGGGCAGCCTCTGGACAGGCCCAGTGGACTAGCAGGTCAGAGGTCACCTTGGTTCAGGTTTGACCAAATGGGCGTGCTCGGTCGGCCAGTGGTGACAGACTGTATATAGTCCTTGGTGTTTAGTGCACCAAACTATAGTATCACTCCCTCAGAATGTTTGTAGAATTTGGGATTAATCTGATCAGTATTTTGGGGGCGACTGTGGCTCAGGAGGTAGAGCGGGTCGTCTCCTAAACAGAAGGTTGGTGGCTCGATTCCCTGCTCAAGTTGGATGTTTAGAACTGTATCCAAATTTACACTCATTTACTGCAGACAGTCAGGTGGTTACTCACTTAGCCTTCTCTGAGAAGGAAATTATAAATCGGCATTTAGTGTCATCACTGACAAGACATGATGTTGCAAAATTCATTTTTGTGTCTATAGTATAAAACAATTTGTGGGACTGTAGAGGCCATAGACTCTCAATTTTTGTGCTGCTGATAGCAAAGAGTTAATTTATTAACAAGTTCAGTTAGTGAATATACTAAAGACAAGACGGCCAAACTTTAGTTTTAGTTGTAATATTGCATCATTTATCATTTTATTTAGTTTGGTATTGGTGAGGGAAAAACTTCCACCATCGTGACAGTGAACAGTTTTAACTAGTTGGCGTCTAATAACCAGTAGCAGGCAAATAACCACTGCAGAAATTAGATAAATTAAATTATGTCTAGGTTGATATTTTTCAGAATTAAAAAAACAAAACTACTCAAACTATGATGAAGGTTAGTATAGAAGTCAGTGTCTATCCCCGTGCAGTGAGTACTTACCAGTGCTGCTGGAGGTCGTCCTCCGCGGTGTCTTCGTACCTCTTTGGTATAAAATGACTTCGACAGCTGCAAGTTTTGCATGTCTAATGAAGATCTGACTTTTGTGAAATTACAGCGAATACTCACTAATATTACTTTATATACTTTAAAATTACAAGTATAATGTTGTAAAATTATCAGTTTTATAATTTTATAAAGGAAAATCCCTGAGCATTAAGGATTAGTGTCTTTTTTTTAACATGAAAAAAACTTTTAAATACCCAAGATTTCATTTAAAATTAAAAGAACAGTATTTAAATAATGGGAAATTACTATATATTTTTTTAGGAGATGGTAATTTTACAGTGCCCAAGCTGCCGGAATATAGTGGTTTCTTAAAATGTTTTTATTTATGTATTCATTAATTTTTCATTAATTATTTCTACAACATTCCTGCAACTGGCAAAATTCACAACTCAAAGTCAGTTCCACTGTGGAAGATGATTGTAGTTTTAAGCTAGAAACTTCAGGGTAAATGTCACTCACCACCAACTATATCATCATATTGTTAACATATTGTTAATACTTTTACACCACTATATTTTCTCATGTCGTAGTTCTTTAATAATAAGGGTGGTATAAAAACTTGGGAACTGAGACTGACATTATATAAAGGCTGTTTTGTAGCCTAATGGTGGTAAAACCCTTCATCCCTAGTAAAAAGTGGGTCTAGGTAGGTTTGTCCTCCCTGTGGTCATTTGACCTGTTGCCTCCTCCCCCCTCATCCTTTAAATCTCCTCCGTCTTCCTTCACACTCAGCTGTGTGATCTGGTGTTTGTGTCAGTGGCTTTACACATGAAGGCTACACGGCATCAACAAGGAGCAGCCAGTGGATCTGATCATGTTTTATTTACAGTTATTTGAAGAATAGGTTTACTTGCGAGCTTTGTTTATGTCCCTGTTATTTTATTGGTTCATAATAGTTGGTCATTGTAGCATGGTACAGGTAACAGAGGACACAGGAATATGAGAGTCTGCTTGTCTGACCAGAGATATTTGGGTGGGTGCAGTGCCCAGGAGGGTGTGTTCTGAGCCTGTGTGTGTGTGTGTGTGTGTTCACTCTAATAAAGTATAATTTGATCAGAGAATCCCACCAAACAGGCGTCACATAGTTTGTTTGACACTGGAACAATTCAAGGTACACACAGAGAATAAAATACATTTGACTAGAATGGCTGAGCACATCGTGTCTGATGCAAGTTCTTCAAGTCAAGCTCCATTTCCATGGCGACTGAGCTTCTTGTACTGTACTGTTGTCAAGGAAACCTCATCAAGCTGTGGTTTGTCAGGACCTTAAGCTTCACTACACCAGTCCTTGACTTTGTACACACAGTTACACAAACCTATATTGACCTTTAGTTGTCCTTTAGAGATGCTGTTATAGAATGTTACCATATTTGCTAGGGTGTTCATGACTGACAGCTATATCAGAAATCTCTTGTATTGCAACACCAAGTTTGTACCTTTATTTTTATTTTGAAGTCTTATAAACAACAGCGTAACAAATAAGTGGAAACCCACCTTAAAGCACAGCATAGATAAGATGTACACTACTGGCCCAAAGTTTTAGAACACCCCCATTTCTCCAGTTTTCACTGATATGTAAGCAGCTCAAGTCAATAACCATAAATGGTACAACGCCAAGAAGTAAACTGCCAGAGGTAAAACTAAAATGAGTGTAAAGTCATAAACAAGGCCTTTTTCAGTGATCCACTAACAGGTGAACATCCTTTTCTGCAGCAGTGGAAGTAAATAAAGCCACCGGTAGCACGGTGTCCAGAGAAAAGCAGCCTGCAGGTGCAACACGTCTGTGGGAAATGTTTGATTTCAGCTGTAGTAATGCCACAAGTGTGTTCAGCTGATGAATTACACTGATAAATACTGGAAGAATTGAGCTGTTCTAAAACTTGTGGCCAGTATTAAACTGCACAGCACAGAAATGGCTACAGGTCTGCAACTTAGACTAGCTTACTTCCTACCATCCTGTGCTGCATTTGAGCTGCTAAACAGCTTCTAGTCTTCGATTTTAGTGTTTTATGTTGTTTTTCTCGAGGACCATGTGAGTTTGTATAAGCATCAGTAGTAGCCAATCTTAGATGCTACATGTTGGGATTCTGGCTCTTCAACACTCATGAATCTAATGAAACGCCGCTCTCTTTAGCAGTGCAAGTTTGATTACACGTTGTTTGTGCCCCTGCCAGCTAGTTGTCACAACCTCCTACTACTGAGTGGAGTAATACACTTTATTGGAGAAAACATGCATTGGTATAAGTCTTACCAGTAAGAGTACAAGTAAAACAAAATTCTTTAATGAATTCATGAGCATCAACATGATTACACTGTGTACTGCTGTAGAGAACTGCCTGCTGTAAAATACCTGAACTCCTGTCGCCATCACAGATGTTAATGTTTGCTGAGGTACAACCAGTTTGGCTGAATGAACACACATTCTCTGACCTGAACTGTGGTGGGGTTTCCTCTCTTGCCAAGTTGGGATGAAATTTGGCCTGAAACTAAAAACACTAGACCTCTCAAAGCTGATCGCTACCTTAATCATGCATACCAGAGGTACAGCATACATATGTTATCGCTGTGGTATTTCCTAGTTTGAGGTCTCTGTCGTGTCATTTGAACCCACTGCTCTTGGCTCTGTCAGAGGCAGTTTGTCATCATGTGTTCATGTCTGTGGCTTTTGATCACTGGGTGCAGATATATTTTGGGTGGGTCCCTATGAACGAGTATCTGTCAGTGATAAATAATGGATTGCACTTTTCCACCCCTCTGCTTTCTCCATTTTGCTATTCTTAGTTGCTGTATAGT